CCCAGCCCCACGAGCCCCAGTTAAACCCTTAGAAGATTGCAGCCCAGCCAACATTGTGACCCAACTAAGCTGCTCCCAAATTCCTGACCCACAGACACTGTGAGAGATAGTAAATATTCATTGTTGTCTTAAAGGGCTAAATTTGAGGGTTACTATTAGGTAACATTGCCATCCCTGTTTTATAGATCAGGAAATTGAGGCACAGAGAGTTCAAGTAACTTGTCTCAGGTCATATGGTTATCAAGTAATTTAAATCCTGGCAGTTTGGGTCTATATAAAGTTCATGTAGCCCTGGTCAGTTTGGCTCAGCGGTTAGAGCGTCGGCCTGCGGTCCGGAGAGACCCGGGTTCGGTTCCCGCTAAGGGCACGTACTTCGGTTGCAGTTTGTCCCCGGCCCTGGTTGGTCGTGCGGGTGGCAGCCACTCGATGTGTCCCTTCACATCGATGTTTCTCTCTCTCTCTCCCTTCTTCTCTCTCCCTCCCACTCTATCTGTACAAAAAATGGAAAAATATCCTCGGGTGAGGATAAAAAAAAAAAAAAAAAGTTCATGTAATGACTTAGAATCCCTCTTTTACAGGAAGGAAGACACTCTGTAGAGAGTGGGGTGGTGGGGAGGGAGAGAAATACAGAGACAGTGACAAAGAGAAATTGGCAATTGGTCCACAGTACATACAGCATAAAGGACTTGGGCTAGACTTCTGTAAAGTGCAGGTGGTAAACAGAGAAGGGTACTGCTGTCCTTGAAGCTCAGCTGTGATTAGCTCGAGACCTCTGGTCTCTGACCCTGCCTGGGCATGTGACATAGCCTTGGGTACCTGAGGGTGGGACCCTGATGCCCCTGAGCAGCCCCCTGTCTGGGGCTCTTATCACACTGTGCTGTCATAGTGTGTCGACAGACCAGAGATTTCAAGGGCCGTGACAAGGTCTTGTTCAACTGTGCCCCTTGCCTGGCACAAGGTCAACAAGAGCAGCCTGGGGGAGGTGTATGCAGAAGGCCCGCTGGTCCTAGCCCTAGCCTTGGTGAGAATTCATATGGTCACACTTCCCTTTAACAAGTGATCACTGGAGACACAGCAAGAACCCAGATGACCCAGTTTCTGGCTCGAGGAGCCCCCCCATTGGATGAAGGATTCATCATTGACAGCCCAATGTGATCAGAGATTGGGATACACAGTGTTGTGGGAGCCCAGGAGCAGGCAAAACCTCTCTGGAGGAGGCCGGAAGGCTTCCCAGAGGAGGAGACATTTGAACTGAGGCCCAAAAGATGACTAGAAGTCAGCCACTGCAAGAGTGTTCTAGGAAGAGGGTACAGGCTGGCAGAGGCCTGAAGCTTCAGTTCTAGGGGGGCAGGGTGAGGGAGCAGAGGGTGCAAAGGATGGACTGCTGAGCTCCGGTGGCTCTGGAGGCTTCGGTGGGGCATGGTGCCATGCTGACAGCAGGTGGAATGTTTCTGTCTCATGAGGAATTCATTGTACTTGGGGTTGGGTTGGGTTTGAGGGTTTTCTTTGGAAACCCAGCAGTGTACAAAGCCCATATACTTGAGTCATCCCAGGATGGCGAGAGGACAGGTGGGGACAGGAAGTCCCCTGGGCAGCAGAAGTTGTACCAGGACCTCAGTGTCCATTTGGTGTCTGGTATGTGCCACCGGCTAGGCTTTCTCCATTTGCCCCTCACTGGAATTAAACGACTTATGTGCCCTGAAAAATTCCAGGTTCTGCCATGTATGTTTGAATGCTGGCTCTGCCACCTACTATCTGTGTGACCTCCCCATTCCTCAGCTTGCTTACCTGTAAGACGAGATAAACATAAACCCCGCCTCAAGGGGCTTTGTAGGGACTAAATGAGTTAAAGCATTGAAAGCACTTGGATGGTGCCTGACACCAGCAATTGTACAATAAATATTTACTATTATTATGACTTGATATGGTTTTCCTTTTAACTTTTTCAAGTATTTAAACATCATTTATCTAATGCTTGTTATATGTCAAGCCTTGTATTTATCCTCTGAATGTAAGGCTGATAAGACATAGTCCTGAGGGTAAAGAAACCATCAGTAAAGGCAGGAACAAACTGGTCCTGCCAGGGACCCACAGTGCAGTAGAGCTGATTCCTGTCCTCAGGGAGATCACAGGCTGACTAGGGAAAGAGGGAAGTGGCCCAAATTGGGTGGGGGATAACGGGAGCCCAGAGAACCTCTGCTGAGGGGGCTGTTGAGAGACAAGTAATTGCCCATTTTGGCAACTGGATGTTTGTGACACAATATGAGGAAAGACCCTCTGTGAGTGTTGAGAAGTCATCAGGGTTTTTTGAACAGGGAATTGTGTTTGAATAATAACATAACTAACAGTTATTATGCATCTACTGTATACTGCATGCCATGCATACATAATTTCATCTAATATAATCCTCACAAAACCCCTGTGAAGCAAGTACTGTCACCATTCCCAGTTTACAGCTGAAGAAACAGCCACAGAGATTAAGTGAATTGCCCAAGTTCACACAGCGAGGAAGGGAAGGAACAGACTTAAACCCAGGCAGTCTAACCCAGAGCTCATGCTCTTAATCTCTCTACCTTGCTGCCTCTGGACTTCAATCTACATAATTATCTTAAAACTACAATGAACCTTAGAAACACCCCATTACCCCCATTTTGCAGAAGAGAAACTAAGGTTCAGAGATGAGAACTAACTCTCCTAAAACCACAGAGTGAAGAAGGAGGGGCTGAACTGGAAAGGTCAGTCTGGTCCGCAGGAGGGGCTCCATCCCAGACTCCAAAGCCCCAGGCATCTGCTGTCACAGCAGGCATCTTTGGGCTTAGAACAAAATCCAGACTCCTACTGGGCCTATAAAGCCCTCATGTGATCAGGGCTTTTCTGACTCCCTCTGACCTCACCTGGTCACTACCCTCTCTTTGTCACCAGGTCTCAGACCACCTCAAGGCCTCTGCACTGCTGTTCTCTCTGATGGGAATGCCTTTCCACCTGATTTTCATGTGGCTGGGCTCTGACTTAGTCTGTTTGGGCTGCCGTGACAAAACACCATAGACTAGGTGGCTTATTAAGAACAGAAATTTAATTCTCACAGTTCTAGAGGCTAGGAAGTCCAAGATCAGGATGCCTGCAGATTTGTGTCTGGTGAGAGCCCAATTCCTTGTTCATAGACAGCCCTCTTCTCACTGTGTTTTCATGTTGTAGAATGGGTCAGAGATCTCTCTGAGGTCTCTTTTATAAAAGCACGAATACTATTCATGTCCTAGTTGCCTCCCAAAAGCCCCAACTTCATATAGCCCCACACTGAGAATTAGGTTTCAACATATAAATTTTGGAAGGACACAAACATTCAATCTATAATAGGCTCCTTCTTACCATTCAGTGAAATGTCACCTCCTCAGAGAGGCCTTCCTTCATTACCTCTTTCAAGTTACCTGCTAAAGCATAAACATGTTTTATTTTTTATGATGATCTGAAATTATCTTTTTTGTTTTCTTGCTTTCATGTCTCCCTCTCCCAACTAAAATGTCAGCTACAGGAGAGAAAGGAGGGACCTCATCTATTACTACACTGTATCCCCAGGCCTTGGACAATGCCTAGCACAGAGTAGGTGCTCCATAAATTTTTGTTGAAAACACGCATGTATTTCATTGTCTGCTGATGGTCTGTCTCCCCACCAGTCAGGGACCTCACAGGGGCTTGTACATGTCTAATTTGCCTTGGCACTACCTCTAGGCCCAAGACAGGGTTGGCATAGAGCAGGGCTGAAATATGTTTGTTGTATGACTGAATGAATGAGGATAGGAGTAATGGGAGGAGTACCTGCTGGACTCTACATTGGGTGGCCACAGCCATTTCCAAGGGGCTGCCCTTTGTGGGAAGTAATAGGGCTCAAGAGGCTGTTAATGAAACAGAGGGGCTTTCAGGCCTGGGACTAATAGCTCCTGAAGCCCTTTCTTCTGCCCTTCTGCAATGGAAATGAGAGGGCAAGAGGGGAGAGGATGGTGGACCTACACTGGGCTTAGGCACCTGTGAATCTATCTCTTTTGGTGGCCAATGCCCTCAAATCTTATTGTCCAAGAAATCTGTGTGGTTGGGCCTTGCTTACCAGCAGTCACCTAAAATCAAATCGTGGGTCTGCTCTCTGCACCCTGCACCCTGGCATGCATGAAGTGGGCCGTGGCTTTCCAGAGAGGCCTTTTCATTCATGCAGAGGTCAGCAGCAGTGGCAGAGGCCCTGTCTCCTGTGGGTAGCAATAATATATCCTTTCTGTGGGACCCCACAGTTCCTGCCCTTCTCTATCACAGCAAGGATTCCCCTGTTGTCCCTTCTAATTGTCTTCCCTCTACCCCAACCCCTGAAGAGTGTCAAATGAGGATGAATAAATAGTCTGTGCACCAGGCTCATGTACATGGACACATTAACCAGCTACATGGATGTGTAATATCCGTGTTGGAGCCATAAGGGGTGCAGAGATCCAGTCCGGCTCCCCAAACTTCTTCCTGATCATGCATATCCTGGTACCCAATCTCCTATTTATATGCTCCATGTGCACACCGCACAGACATGTGCACCCAGGAACATTGTCTTCCTTCCCTCCCAGGCTCGCTCCTAGGTTCCCTCAGCCTCCTATCAGCCTGTCACCTCCTCCAGGCAGCCTGTGCTGCTTTCCTTGGACCATCTGCTACCTCTGGAGACAGTGGCCTCGCCTGCCTTACCTCAGCTTCTGCAGCGCCCAGCAGCGGCCTGAGCAGGGTCACCGAGAGCCTGCTGAGGGAGGAGTGGACCAAGGACATGAGGGAGGAGGGAGAGGTGGCAGCAGCTAGAGGAACTTGGGGCGGAGGCGGCTGCGGGAGGGGGCGCGCGCGCGGGAGGCAGCAGTCTAGGGCCGGGGCCGCGCGCCCAGCCTGAGCCCGCCCCGCCGCCGAGCGTCACGGAACCTGCTTGAAATGCAGCCGAGGAGCCGGGGCGGGCGGCGGCGGCGGCGGCGGCGGCGGCGGGGGCAGCGGCAGCCCCGGCGCCGCAGCAAGAACTCCAGGGGCTGAAGCGCGGCGGCGACAGCGACACGGGGTGTGCGGGGCGCGGCGGCCGGAGCCCGGGGCCCGCCATGGGCCGCCCCGAATGGGGCGCGCTCCGGCCGCTGGCGCTGCTGCTGCTGCTGCTGCTGCGACTCCAGCATCTTGTGGCGGCGGCGGATCCACTGCACGGTAGCCAAGGTGCGTGCGGCCAGTCGCCGGGCAGGCTCTGCGCCACCGTAGCCGCCAACAAAGCGCGGCCCGGCGGCCGGGGAGCCGGTTGTACCAGGGCCACCCAGCCCGGGCCCGGCAGAGGCGCCCGGGTAGAATAGGGTCCTCCGGACCCATTTATCTTTTAATTTGCTCCCCGCTCCAGCGCCTCCCTGTGTTGTGGGCTCTGCCCTCCGGCACCTGCTTTTGGGGGATGGGCGCAGTGGGGTCCCGGCGGGCCGGGAACTTTGCCCGGAGGGGGTGGGACACCCGGGTAGTCAGTGATGGTTTTGGGTGGGCTGTATGATTCTTGTCGTTGACACGCGCTCTGTGGCGGTGGTGAGCGGAGCACAATGCGTTTCCGGGGACTCCTGCGTGCTGCCGAGAAAGAGGGGCTGCGTGCAAGAGGGGGATGTGCCCGGAGCTCCCAGTGCATGTGTCGCGGCGTGTTTCGGGGCTCCCTGTGGGCTCTGTCTCTGTGGATCTCTGACTGGGCCAAGTGAGCGAGCGAATGTGACTGAACAGAGGGTATGCCTAAGTCGTGTAACACCGACTGTGTGTGCCTAGTCTCGGCATGCCACAGAGCTGCCCGCCATCCCAGGAATCCTCCTCCCTTCCTTCCTGATCGAGGGTGCCCGAGGTCCCCGGGGTCGTTGCATCGCCCCCTTTCCTTCACCCCAGGAGACCCCTGCCGGCTGCCAGGACTGCATGGTCCGCGAATCGGCTCACGCCTCCTCTCCCCCGCGCAGGGCTGCTCAAGGAATGCGAAGAGGACCAGTTCCGGTGCCAGAACGAACGCTGCATCCCCTCTGTGTGGAGATGCGACGAGGACGATGACTGCTCGGACAACAGCGACGAGGACGACTGCCGTGAGTGGCCAGCGGGGAGGGAGGGAACGGTGCGGGACGCCATGCTTAGCGCGCTTGTGGAGGCAGCTGCCGCCGGGCCACCTGCGTGGACGTCACCCGGGCAGCCGGCAGGCAGGAAGCCGCCCGGGCGCAGCCTCCCTCGGGGCCGAGAGGCTCTTAGCGTTCTGGTGGGAGCTGGGCTGCAGGCGTGTCCTAACGGGGTCGGGGGCGGAGCCCGGGGCGATGTGGCCTGGGAGGAAGGCACGCCACACCCAGTTGCTGGGCCGGAACAGTGGACGGGGACGCGATGGTCCCTGTACGTGTCTAGTTTCCTGCGATCCGGCCCTTTCGGACTCCAGCCTCGGCTCCACTGAACGCGCGGGTGTTTCAAAGTTCCACACAGCTCCCGGCCTAGCCGCGCTCTTTTTCCTGCTTGAGTTTTTTGTGAATGAATGGGCTCCCCGGGGCCCCTGATTGGCTAGGCGAGGACCACCCCATAGGTCCCCGTGGCCGGAGCGGCCAATCGTGGTGCCGGCGGGTGTGTAGTTTTCGGGCTCAGTGGGCGCAGGGGCCTTGCCCTGGCCCCGCCCCGGCCACACCCCCGCACGCATCCCGCGGAGAGTAGGTGCAGGCCGGGCCTGTGAGCTGAAGCCCAATGTTTTTCCGCCTAGTCATCGAGAAGAAGCTCTTTTGTGCCACCCTGGTTGGCCGACCTCGATCTCCAGCCTGATAGACTCGGGCATGAGGCATGGGGCATGAGCCATCCGGGAAGGAGGGAGCCAGGAGGAAGAGTTTGTTTCCTGGGAGGGACCCGACGATCCCGAGGCCGCGTGTGAACCCCCGGCAATGTGTTGGTTGCGGGCGATCTTACCTGAGTGTGGTGTTTGTACACCGGGGGACGATTGCTTTGGAAGTTCCTTCTTGGTGTGCGCGAGGTTTCGGATGTCTGTGGGACCATAAGCGAGTTAGCAGGCAGTTGCCACGGCGGAGAGTAGTTCAGGGACAGAAAAACAGGACTTTTAGAAACAGACTCAGACAGACGGTCATTCATTCTCCGTCCCGGGAGCCTGCTGCGTGCAGGCACTGGGGCACTTGGAGAACAGGTCCACCCCACTGTCCCTGGAGAACAGGGTCTGTGGGAGGAGAGCAATGGGTGGACAGACCCATAGCTCCACACAGTTGTAGGGATGGGGGTGGGGGAGAGGGAACACATGGACAGGCACTACCTGTTGAATCCTCAAGGTTTTTTTTTTTTAAACTGGGTTTGCCAGTCAGCCTCCGGGTTCATTTTCTCAGACCCAAACCAGTGTTGGCTCTGTGACTGGGGCACATCTTTTCCTCCTGCCTCAGTTTCCTCACTTGACCACTTAGGCTAATGATTCCTGCTCTGGTTTTGAGGACCAGTTCTAGTAATGTAATGAGAAGTAATGAGACGAACAAGTGCCGGCTGTTAATTGTGTGCTAACTACTGTGGCTGTGCTTATTTAAATAAACTCCTTTAATCTTCAGAATAGTCCTAATTTACACACTAAACAAACAGAGGCACTGAGAGATGAAGTTACCTATATCCCACAGCTATTGAGTTGCTAAATAGGAACTCGAATTTAAGCATCTAACTGCAGAGTTCTTAGCTTAATCATGACTCCATCTTTTCCCAGTGCTATTGAACTTATTAATATGGCTGAGCTGGGGTAAAATATTATGAGTCTCATCATGGTGAGTTGTTCTCTGTGGTCCTCTTAATAGCAGGAGTGCTGAGGATGAGACAGGAAAATAAAAACTGCATTTCTGTGCTAGTTTTACCTTATCTCCCTGATTCTTTATAACAGCAATCTTGCAAGAGTGGCTGTGAAGAGCAGACATTTTTCTTGTCATCCTGTTTGTAGATAAGGGTTCTGGCTCAGAGAAGTTGAGTGATTTGCCCAAGGTCACACAGCAGAAAATGACAGAACTTAGTCAGGATGTCTGCCTGCCTCCCAGCTCAAGGACACTATTTGCTGTGGTGGGTGTGTGATGTGGAAGGATCTAGGAAGGTGATCCAGAATTTATAAAGTCATACTCTGAATATTGGGCCTGTCGCTTTTCATCTTTATGTGAGGCTCTGGGCAAGATGAAGGTGTGAAGTAGCAGGTGGCTGGATGAACCCAGATGGGACCAGGGGAGCTCCTGGGTTCCCGTTTTCATTCTGAAATAGATGGGATGGAATCATAGGCAGAGAATGAACAAAAACAAATGACATTGACAGCTTGAAGTGGAAGGAGTGAGGGCTTTGCAATTAGTACCAAGTATCAGTTCCACACGCTTGTCTTCTCTGAGCTTGTTTCCTCTTATTTGCTGAAAAGGGGTAACACCCATCATAGGTCATATGTAAAAGGTGTTCTCACAGGGCTGGCAAAGAAAAGGGAATGGATGAGTAGCACACCTCCAAGGTGTTTAGAGGTCTTTCATAGGGGGCCCCTAGGAGCCACAAAGAGAAATCTTAAAAAAAGGCGGTGGGGGCTTTGGGTGACTGTGTTGGGCCAGTTGTTTGAAAATGATCTTTCCTTACACCTTCCTTCCCCATCTGAGGATTTTCCACCCATTCTGGACCACCTGCCCAAATTGCATTTCTTTGAACTATCCTCCCCCCAAGGCTGTTGGCTTCTTCCTCAGCAACCTCCCTGCCTTATATCTGACCCCTTTCTTTTGCATTTCAACCCTCCGCTCTGTGACAGCTGCCCCACCTCTGTACCTTTCGACCTGTGAAATGGAGGTTGCGATTTGTAAGTGAAGTCTGTGTGAGGCAAAATGAGTTCAAGTTCTCAGCGGGGCCAGAATGCAGCCTGTGAATACCAAGAGCTAAGGGAGGCTGGAGGGAAGGAGCTTATATGTTGAGGAAGCACAGGAAGGCTTCCTGGAGGAGGAGACAGCTAGACCAGGCCTTGAAAGATGGTAACTAATGCCATTCCCTCAGGGCTTACCATTTAACAATAGGCAGTATAGCCCCCATATTATAGAGAAGGAAACTGGGGCTTAGAGAGGTGAAATGACTCCCCCAAAGTCACATAGCTCCTCAGGGTTGGAGCCAGCACTCAGACTAAGGCCTTCTAAATCCCGATCCTCAGCCACAGCAGATGGAACTCTGGAGAGTCAGGATAGAGCTGGCAGGGTGGGGAAGGGAAAGGCTCATGGGGCTTCAGTTCCCAGCTCAAAGGTTCTTCAAAGTGTAGGAAGGGGCTGGAAGCTGGAAGGCCAGGCCCAAGGAAGCCCAGGATAGCCCAGCCAGGGAAGTTGGGCTGTGGACCTGGGTCACGTAGGCCAGCTGGCCCCTTGGTCTCAGTTTCCTGTTGCTCCTTAGTGTCTAGGGGCAGACATGAGGGCTCTGGTCTCTGGCCAGCCCTTTGCTCCCAGAGTAACAACAGTAAACTCTTACGGAGCACTTGGTGTAGACCAGGCGTTGTGCTGAGATTCTGTGTGCATCAAGTCGTGCTTCTCAATTCTATAAAATGGGGCAACGCTATGATGTACCTGCATCATTCTCATTTTACAAAGGCACAGGGGAGTTAAGTAACCAGCCCCAGGGTATGTGATTTTTAAGCAGATTGCTGGGGTTTGAAAGCAAGCGCCCAACTATGGAACCTTTGCTGGTGACCTCAGGCAAGTCCTTCCAGGCCTGTTTCCCTATTTTGAGATGACATGAAACCACCTGTCCCTCCCGCTCTGGAAAGAACTCTGTTTCTCATTGTGGATGGGCTGAGGGGCTAGGTATATGGTGGACCAGTTTTGTGCTCAGATTCTTCTATCTTGTTCTGGCTCCTTTAGACTGCCTTGTTCTCCCAGCCCCCATCACCCCCTCATCCCAGGTTTAATAAAGAGTGGCTGCAGCGAGTTCTCCCACGGCTGAGAGTTCATTAGCTGGGCAAGGCCAGGCTGCAGGAGCGCCGAAGCCTGCTGGGAAGCAGCCTTGTAAATAATTAAAACGCTGCCCCAGCTCCCAGCTGGGGCTGCGGCCTGCATCTGCCCTTATGTGCCGCCTGGCCTTGGCCCCATTCTCACACCAGGCCCAGCGTCATCTCCTTTTTGGATGGAGTCATCTGACAGATGGTGCTGCTCCTTTCTAAACCTTAGTTTCCTCATCTGACCAGGCAACTCCATCTTTCAGAGTCCTCCTGAGACTTAGTGACCGGCTTCTGTTGCCCACTCCCCTCTAGCTCAGTCCTGTCTCTTCCTGTGAGCCTGTGACACCACACTGGGACTTTGTCTCACCCTTGCTTTCCTGCTGCTTCTCATCTCCAGGTCTTTGCATGTGCCATTCTGTCTGCCTAGAATACTCTTTCTGCTCCCTCACCTGGCCACCTTCTTTTTGTCACTTTACATGATTCAGTTTAGGTGTCACTTCCTCGAGGAAGCTGAGATACTAGAGTCAAAGAGAGGGACTTAGGGACCTGTTTTGAAATCACAGCTCACTGGGGCCCTGAATCAGACACACCTGGTTTTCTATGCTGCTGTCACTCCTGGCTGAATGGGTTTGGGAGTGATAATAGTCTCTCCCTCCCAGAGGTGGTGTGAGAGTTAAATGAGATAATGTCCCTGGTAAGGAGTGGATGTTCAGTGAATGGCAATGAGTATGATTGTCCTTGGAGGGAGGATTTTCACTGAAGTCTCTAGTTACCTGACTGCTGAGACACCCCTACTCCCCAGATGGCTGAAGGCTCCTGCAGCTGGGGCTTGCCTTAGCCAGGGGGTTGTCCAGCCACTGTGGAGGTTGCCCCAAGGCCATTCAGCCTGGGACCTGGAAAGAAGAGAGGTGCCCAGGGAGGGGTTGAGGGAAAAATGTGTCAAATAGTCCTTGTTGGTTTTGGTGAATAAGGCCCTGGGAAGGGCAGAGGATGGCTTCCCTGAGGCCTGTGCTTGTCCCAAGGCTGGTTTTGTCCTTGCTCCTTTCTTCCTGGCTGTGTGTGGGAAGGGGAAGCTGAACAGCCCCCAGGGCTCTGCCCAGCAGGCCCAACCTTCCCACTCTTCTGAGTCCAGATTTGTGCCTC